TTCATAGTGCTTTTTGATCCTTTTATGTCAGGAAACACTGCAAATTGTGCTAAGATTAAACATAACCTCAAAAATAGTAATTTGGACTTGAAAATTGCCCATTTTGACAACTTTCTGGGCAATTTTGACGAAGAATCAGCAATTTTAGGATCATTTGCAGGTTAGTCTTTCAAATAAAGTTCTAAAAGCTCTCTTAGTTATATTTTTGAGGTTATGGTCAAAATGTGGCAAAATGGCGGTTTCAAGTTGATTCTTATGGAAATTTCGAATGAAACCTCAAGAGATTCATTCTAATTTGGAAATCAATGTGGAATCAGACTACAAATTTGATGGTCTAGAAGTCATATTATCTCCCCCTTGCCGAGAAGAGAGTTTAGTCCGTTGCCCTCTTCAACTGTCAAACATCTGTCAGTTAATACCTAGACTTAATTTGCTCCTTTCATCCCCACTGAAACGATAAATTTCCCCCTCGTGAAGCTAATTGCAGCATTCTGCCAGCTTGGAACAAAAAGAAGAGGGAAACTTAATATGAAAAGAGCGAAAAGAAATTTAAAAAGTTTTTTTTTTCTCACAAAACTTCTCGGTTCTTTTTTTTTTTGCAAGAATGCAGTGGAAAAAGTAAGGCTAAAGTACCATTATTCTGTCCCATGATAGTGACTAAATTTGAATGTGAACGAATTAAAGCGTGGAAAATTTACTTTGTGAATTATATTAATAATTTAGTCTGCTCCACTTCTTCCGCTTTCCCCGCCACTTTCCATCCTGTCACAGCTAAGTTTACATATTTTGCACTATATCCTGGGTATTTTGTAACGTGATAATCCCCATGGAAATTGTCCATGCTTCTGTGTTACTAATATCTGCATAAAATCCATGCCAGACTGAGATTTTCATTCTGAGAGTTCGTTTATGGTTGTTGCATTACTCAATTCGTGTTTAGAATATATTGACTAATTTAATATGCAACTCAGTTTAAGTTTTCCATGAAGTTTTGCAACCTTGACAGTTGATTCTAAATGGTCATTCAGCTAATTTAATTACCCTGAAATTTCAGCGGTATTTGCGGTGTTGGGCAAGCCAACATTCTATCAAAATTCTCTCTTTTAGATGATTTTGCTGATTTCGTTACATTGGACATTGACGTGTGTGTGTGAAATTTATAGGAGCAAATTGGGGTGCCAAATGAGGGAAAATCGAAAATTGACCAATAATCAAGTGTATTTGCGTTCAATATACAGAATCACCCCTAAATTAAGTGAAATATACTGACTTAAATTCACAGCAACAATAGAAAATATTGCAAATTTTCTGAATATCCCAGCAATATTTCTATTATTCATTCCGGCCGAATATAGAAAAATATATACAATTGTTCCATAAAAAACAATTTTCCCAAAAAGCGACAGAATTTTATGGGTTTGTGAATTTTTAAAAAGTCAACAAAATCAATTTTTAACAGTGATTTAAATCCTCTCAACATCTGAAAACTACATTTCACCTGAACCAAATCATTTATTGAAGAGCTTATTAATCTCTTGCTATTTTCAACCAGTCCAGACTTGCAATTAATATACCTCATTTGCATATGAAACTAACAATTTTGCCATTAACAAATGGCCTTTTTCTGTACAGCAAAAGCCACTCTCTCGCCAGCTGTAATGAAATATTCTGGTCCATATTTGTGGTGTATTATTTATTCCCGTGCGGCGCGCGCTTTCATATCGATGTCACGCAGTGTAGTGAATGTTGCAAGTATCTCTAGAATTTTTAATAACCCTTCAATGTGGTCGATGATAGGGAATTACTGAAATTCCCCGGACACAGAGAGTGAGAAAGAGCACGAAGTGGATTTGTGTTAATCGGCCTCCGGAATCGAATTCCGCACTGACGATGACTTGATAATTGAAAATTGTGATTTTTTGATTTGACTTATGCAAATGCCAGGGCGGAAATGGGCAATTTATTGGGGGTTGGGAGGGCGCGAAGCAATTGGGAAATGTGCTAACTTCATCCAATAACTGGGTGGGATGCTCACCCCGGGCTTAATGGCAATTCTGATCGGAAATTCTTGCTCGTCTCCTGCGCCGGGCGACAAAGGGGAGCGAAGCACAGCCACTTCCGTGCCAGAGACGACAAATGGTAATGGGTATGGATGTCACGGTTGGGGCTTCCTGTTCCATGTCTGTCTTCGTCGGTCGCCCTTTGCCATTGTCAGCGCCGGAGACTCCATTGGCTCTCTCTCTCACCCCCGCGCCACCGGGGGTGAGACACTGGGCTTCATATCTCCTCCGCTTTATGCTTTTTTGCGGCACACTTTTCTCTCCATCATGAATTTATTCGTACAGCCAATTCTCCCCCTTTTTTCTCTCTCTCACCCCCAACTCTGGCATTCACGAGGCTGTCTATCCGCTTGTGTGGTGCTTGTCTCCCCGATTGTCGATTGCACACAATTCCGTAAATTCCAGAAATGCTGAAAATTTATTTTATACGCCCATCACCCTCAAATCTCCATATAGAGGCGGACTCCCAGGACTATACGTGAAATTTATCGATTCGCTGATTTGTTTGCATTTCTGGCTGTTGATAAATCTTCAACCATACTTCGATAGTTGATTTTGAGATTCGCGAGAATGCTCGCACGTTCGCAATTTTCAAATTGTTGCTCTGGCGCGCGCTTTACACTCGACAAAATCCCTCGCGAGCTGTGCGCGATATTTTCCATCATCATGCATGAAACTTTTAAAAGTGCCACAATTTTCTATCATCTATCATTCACAGTGTGTTCTCCACTTGAAATTATCACCCCCAGAATGTTTATTATCGCCAGGGAAAAGCGTGGGATCTTAAAGTGAAATTACACTTAAGTTGCAAGATGACTCCTGTCGGAAGAAATTAAGGTATTACGTGTGGAAGATGGGATTAATCTCAGGTGGTTTTCCTGCATTGAGACATTTTGGATCTGGCAATTGCCAGCGATGATGGCTTTTCTGCACGTCCTCAATTCACAGAGCGAAAGAGCCGCCATCGGACTCGAAAGTACTCCGCTTTTCATCTTAATGGAATCCACACACTGATGGGCTGACATCTCTCGAAAAAAAACTACCACAAGAGATAGAGAGACACTCTTTCGCCATCTCTCAAGTGGGGGTGAAGATTTTTAAACATTCTCGTCACGGAATTATCAATGGAAACGGAAATTTCCGTGAGAACACAATGCAACTGATACAATTGTTGCATCACTTTTCTTGTGTGCTTTTCCATTGCTTCTGTATGCATTACTTTCGGGGGGGGTTTCTTGTTTCTTACTTGCTCGCGATCGCTCTTAGTTTTTCGAGCAATGCAGTCATGGATTGATGTCAGTTGTCAAGTGGAATCAAATGAATTTGGTCAACACAAAGGGGGAGATAATATCAAAAACATTCAATCTTCCTTTCCTATGTGTTTATTTTACTGATAATCATACCGATTCTTTGGGTTTCTTTTGACTTGTACAAAAAAAAACAATTCTTTTCTAGGTTATGTAACGAATCACAGACAGATTTAGTGAATATTTCGCACTCTAGCACAATTCTTATGCTAAAGTCGCCCAGATTGCTAATCATTGGCAGAATTAAACATTTCCATGTGAAAAACTCTGCAAATTGTATTGAGGTTGAACATAACCTCAAAACGAGTATTGTAGACTTGGAAAATGTTTATTTAGACCACTTTTTGCACGATTCTGACTTTGAAAAAGCAATTTTGAGTTGATAAAATGATTTTATCATCTAGAAAGCTTCCAATTGGAGTCTTCTAAGATCTCTTAGTGACATTTGTGAGGTTATGGTTGGAAAGGACGCTGAAAAATGCGATTTGCAGTGGATTTTTACAGAAATATCGAATGGAACCTTAAGATATTTATTTTAATTTGCGAATTTTTGTGGAAAAAATCTAAAAATTTGAGGTTCTGGAAGTGTTTTACAGATTAAGAGCATATTATCTCCCCCTTGGGTCAATATGATCTCACATTTCCCACTGTATTCCTTCATTGTATTCGCCCAGCAATGCGGAGTTCATCTTGAGAGACTTTTTCACCCAGAAGAGAGACCTCTCAAGTGCACTGGGCGTTTTGTCTCATTTGGAAGTGATTCAGTGTACAAGAGAGAGCATATGTTTACTCAGCGCGACAATGCCTGTCGCGGTTGGTAGTGTTGATAGAGGACTGTGATTAAAATTCCCCACAATTTTGCCGCGACGCAGAGGGGCTGGGGGGTGTGTATAACGTGTCAAATATCAATGTATTATACACACTTATAGCTGGTGAGAGTCTGTGCAAAGTGCTCCTCTTCATGTCTTCTTGCTCGTGATACCCGCGGCGGCTCCCTATCGCCAAGTTTGCTTTTGTAATTTCCCATCAAGGAGCATCACAAACTCTTGTGGCTTTATAAAATAGAAATATGTATATGCGAAGGGGTGGGGGGATGAAATGTTCCACACAGCCGAAACTCCTTCTTCTTCCCTCAACAATATTTGCACTCATTCACCAGTCAGATAGACAAGAAAGATATAAAGGGATGTACAAATAAACATTTCCTCCATCACACCGTACAATTTACACATCCCCATCGTGGCGGAAGAACATTTTACCTTCACTAATTGTGCTGCAAGATGTACAAATATTCCACATTACATTAGATATCCATACACACATGATTGCCAAATGAAATTTATACGTGGAAAATGTTTAGATAAGGCACAACACCCGCAAAACCAAACCCAAAAGGTATGATATACACACCCTCTCTCTCGCAAACTTCCCAATACAATCACTCACGAAATGACGGGAAATGTGTTCAAGGTTCGAGATTTTCACATGGCAAAACCCCACCAAACCCTGACACACCGACAGAGGGATCACTCAGACGAGCTCCTCGAGGAGAAAACTTTTAATTGAAATGCTATACAGAGAGAGAGAGAGAGAGAACTGTGTATTTATACTAATTTCTTCCATCTCTTCGCAGGATGTGCACGATGTTCCTGCCAGAATTGATGAGTTTCGCCGCTGCAATGCTCTTTGCCGTACATCCAGTTCACACTGAGGCCGTAAGTATCTTCTCAGACCCTTTGCGGAGCGCATAATTCACGAGGCTTAAGTTCGCGCTTAAGACTTTTGCTTCCACTTTCGTAGTTTTGAGAATTTGTGGAAAGATTTTCATGAATTCGACGGAAGAAACGGAAATTGCTCATGATTTTGAAGACAAACTCGACAATTATTCCGCCTTTTGCTTGAAATATGTACAAAAAATGGGAAAAAAAATTCTAATATCCGTCGTGCAGAAAATAAACCACCAAATGGAAATGTGTCTCAAGAGGGAAAATTATCCACGATAGCATTTCATTTCACACTTGAAGTAATATCATAACTCTTCTTTTATGCTCGCCAACGTGCAAATTAGCCATTCGAATAATCACAAAATTGTGGCAATTAAAATATATAAAGTTAAAGACTTCTATTTGCCAGGCAATTAGGGTTTATTTTTCGAACATCTCAAGCTTTCCCGTGCTTTTATCTCTCGCGTTCAGATGCTTTTCCAGCAAAAAGTTAGATTAAAAGGAAATTTTGTTATGCCCAAAAGACCACATTGCTGAGTTTTCCAGGTAAAATTTACGAAATTTCCACACTGATTTTTGATGGTTTTGCTCCGTAAAAGTGGATGAAAATAAGGAAAGGTATTCAAAGTGCGTCACTGGAATCGCTTTTCACATTTGCACGGCGGCTGAAAAATCGCCTTTTCCCTTCTCGCAAAAAAAAACTTTCATCTCAACCGGTCGAACTCAATTGTTTCGCGGCGCGCGTGTGTGTGAAGCCAGAATTGGGGTGGGAAGTTGATGTGTTGAATTTTCTGCCAATATCAAAGTGTGGAGATGTGAAAAATCTCGCAGGAACAGAAGAAGCCAAAAGTGTGTGAATTGGAAAGAAGGAGTGAAAAGTTGAGTCGGTTAGAAAGTTCTCAAAGTGCGACTCTTTGATCTTAAAAGTAAATTAAGGATTCTGTCCATTTGAATTGTTTGCCAATATATATAAAGTCTCTCTGGGGATGTTCAAAAGGCAGGTGAAAAGAAGGTTTTGTGTCTTTCTCTCTAGACGATAATTTTTTTAGCACGAGAATCTCTGTATGAACCAAAACGCCTTAAACATCCTTTCCATCATCAATTCCTTTTCTTTGCCTGCCAAGGCTATTGTTGCAGATATCACAATTCCATAGTGATATGGCAAGAAGAGGAACACGTTTGTGTCTGAAATAGACGCGGAATTTGCCAAATAGAATCCGTTCTTTGCCACATATTCTTTCATCTTTTCGCTGTGCGCAATCCACACAAGTCTCCATCAGCAGTTTCGCATGATTATGTATTTTTATCTCTGTGTATTCACTGCTGTTATTCTTCACAACACCACATAAATTCCACCTTTATTCGTGTCTCCATTTCATAACGGATGGATGGAGAGTTGTGAGGTGCACAAAAGAAATATATTCGCAACTGCAGAGTTGAGAAGTGACGATGAGAATTGCTGTGCAGCAGAAGACAAGAGCAAAACTACTTTTTCAACTCAACAACTGCAAGACGCTCGCGATGGTGGATGAAAAAGTCCATCGAGACAGTTCTCTTGGTCATGAATTATTTCAGTGCGAAAAATGCGATGGATATAAACAAGAATGAGACACTGGGCGATGAGATGGAGAGTCATGCGGAGAATATGTGCTGAGGCGAGATGTGTTGAAGTGGTTTTTCGGGGTGGTTTTGCAAGACATTTTCTCATCTCATATTTGGGATACCATCAACTCTGGCACAGAGAGCGAGAGACTATGTATGTTAGATATGAGGTTTATACGGTTTTTCAGGGTGGGCAAAAACAAGGCGAAGAGTGCAGAAAGGCCCGCAGTGAAAATCTGTAAAACTGCTAGAGATAACACGGTCACGTTTCACTATATTAGTTTAGAGTTGAAGAGGATACATAAGCATATCACATAATAACATCGTAATATAGTGGTTTTACTTGGTGATTTAGCCACCCAGTGAAAATTGCTGTGAATTTTCTTCTTGTCCAAATTAGGCTTCTTGTATTCATGAAAGTATTTTATCAAAAGCACCCCATTGCAAGATAGAGAGAAAGAGAGCCAAATATTAAACGTGCACGGAAAATTATCTCGACATCAATTTCACGAATGGGTCTCTCTTGGTGAAATGACTGTTGTGGAAATCACTACACACCTTCTCTCTTCCGTACATTTTGGGAGGCAATAGAAAAGCGATAAAGCAACATCAAAGGGAATTGATTTGTAATTTCATAAACCGAAGCATATTATCGAAAGCTCTCTTTGTACACTTTTAGCTATGCCTGATGGGCGGTCCTGGGAGCTTTGACTGGCACTCTTTCTGTTCACGACAAGAGCTTTTGTATACATATATGCAGCTGAATGTGGTGACTTCAAAAGCACCTGATTAGAGAGAGGGAAATGCATTGTGCGAGAATTACCGGTGATAAATTGAATCTAATCAGCGAATTAAAATTTAATTCTAAATCGATAATCTATTAATTTACGTAATTGTACATTTAGCATGATTGTGCAGACTAACTGACCCACAATCGAGCCCACAATCAATTGGATGGCGAAAGAGCTTTTCCGCTTCGTGAGTGGCTGATTAAGTGAAGAAGATAAATTGAGTGTGTGGGAAAATTTCCTTGCCATAAAAGTGAATTCACTTTTCACACATGTTTTAAGCATGACTTTAACATTGTTTACTCTTCAGGCTCTTTAAAGGGTTGCTGTAAGTTTACATAAGAGTATTATCCTATTACTACAAACTCCCATGTAATTATCTTCCAGGTTTTCAGTGTGGAATTCCATTTATGCTTTAAACAGCCCACAATGATTGAGTTGTATACATATTTCACATTTATCAGCTGCGAAAGCTTCAATTGGAGCTTTCGCTGAATAAATACACCCCAATGCTATGTACTGGGAGTTTTCCCCATTTATCATCCCCATCGATAATTACATAGGCAACTCGTAATGACTATAAAATTGATAGTTTCATGTAAATGTTATTAGATGACTTGTGCTTTGTCCATATTATGAGCCATTCATTTGGCCAAAGAAGGGGTTGCTGGAATATTCATCAATATTTCCGCAACGTATTATCATACGGAAAATGATGTACACTCTCCAAGGGGACATGCTTGATGGCAAGTTGTCGGGGAAAGTTGACGGTATATATTCCTTCCTGATAAAGAAGATAAATTTACGGTACACCAGAAGCCGCACACACAATCTATGCGGGGTTATGTGCGAATTAATACGTAGCTTGGGGATAAGGGCTGTTGCGAAGGGATCTCTCTCCCTCAAGTATCTCTCTAGCCCCAAAGGACACTCCGCAACTTGCTCCAATTTTCTATGTTGCCTCTCTCTTTCTACAACTCATTAATATCAATAGCAGAGGATTATAATTTTAGAAGCTCTCGGGCTGCCCTGCAAAATTTACAACTAATACAAATGTTGAAGCTTCCTATTAGTTTTTCCATGTGGCAATATCCTCCCTTGTGGCTTGCCCTCTTGTGGGGGTGAGAGCGAAAGAAGTGTGTTTGTGCATATTTGCAGAATTTATGAGAAGAAAGCCACACACACACACACACATGGGCAAGAGAAACCATTGTATATTAGGATAGTTGTTTGTTTTCTAACTTCGCTTTTGCTTCCTAGGGCATAAATTGTTGTATTTCACCCGCTCAAAACCACACCGTCGCTAGCAATAATTCATAGTTAGAGAGCTGATATGCATAAATTATGATGTTAGAATATATTCCCCCAGCGCTGCTACATAGCGCGATAATGCGGTGTCAAAAAATTATAACAGCGAGGTAATTTTATATCAGGCGATGCTACAATATTGCCGAGACCCACATGCAAGAAATATTACACGTGGAAGTGGGTGGAGGGAGAGCAGAAGAAAGGCTATACTTTATCGTATTTTATGTATTTGAGAAATATGTCCCACATATGAAAATGTTTCCCAAAAGGATATCTTTCCCTGTGCGCTGTGAGGAAATTGTATTGGCTTCTGAATATATTGTCATACAGCTGCAGGGATTCCTTGTAAAGTTCAATAGACAGAGAGAGAGAGAGTTGTCTCAGAGTTGTTTGCTTTAAATAATCCAGGTAAACACAATACTCTCTCACTCTCTGCATAAAGTTCAATTATAAATGGCATTCGATCTGTGTTTTTGATTGCTCAATTGCAAAAAAAAATTATGCTGTGGCGTATTTTCAGGATTAAAACATTCTGACGAAGTCTAGACTGAGTTTTTCTTTGTGTATCAGATTGAAAATGGCGCTGACAATGTGAAATTTACACTTTTCAATTATGAATTCTATCCAGGGAGGCTTTCACTCGTAAATTATATAGTTTCACCACGTTTCCCAAGACATTTTCCCCTCACATGAGGGCTGCGAACAGTTTCTCCCACCCTCAAAACACCCCCTCAACCAGGCACAGAAAAAATGGGGAGAAACAGAAGGAAAAATGTATTAAATTTCCTGCGAAGCCACTAAGCAAATGTCACGTGGAAATCTGATTGATTCACCCCTTTTTTGGATGGTGGAATTTCCATCGCACAATTTTTCCCCGCGTACATAATTCATGAAGCTTTAAAAGCCAGTGCAAAAGTTTTTGCCGGTGTTTCTGAAATTTCAAAATTTCTTCTACATTTTCGCTGAGTGAATTTATTAATGAGCGCACACTCAAAGAAAAAACTCCAATGACAAACCAAAAGTATTAAGCAATTTTTACTAATAGAAATTAATAGAATCTTATCCATCCCATTATTGCTGTAATGGCGCGTAACCGCGAGAGGATCAGGCAAATTACCTGCAGAGATTGCGATGAATACTGAGCAGGGAAGAATTAATAAAAGTGAGATTTGTTGGGCAAAGACGCCCGAATTAACGATCCATTTCACCCGTTTCGCTGGTGGAAACCGCGAAGAATGTAAATTAAATAATATTGCGCTGCGCCACGGCGAATAAATTTGCACTCGTGACCCA